CCGGGCTGGGTCCGGTCCGGGTTCCGGGTTTTTGAGCCAACGAGGAAGAAGAAGAATATGTGGGGCCCGGCCCGGAACCGACTCGACCCGCCGGGTTAAGGGCCGGTTCAGTGAACCGGCCCTTAGTTACAAGCGGGCCGGGCCCGGTTCACTACACGGTGAACCCGGCCCGGCAAATGGACACGTCTACGTGTATGTTACTAAGAGACATTGACTATTTTAAAACTCATCAACCATCACATAGGAAATCACAAGTGGTAACTGATGCCCACATGAATTTTAAAGGTATTTGCAGATCAAAAAGAGATAACATATCACAAATATTTCAAATATCACGTATAGTTCAAAGACAACCTATTGTAAGAAGCTATTAATTTAAAAAAAAAAAAGTAAGTCAAACTCATTATATTTAGATATTATTAAAAATTTCCTTATACACAACATTTTCGGTCTGAGTTTTAGAAGCTTGATCTCCACACACTAAGATTTTTAAACCACTACGATTGGTTACACATGATACGGCCACATACAACTGTCCGTGACTGAATACAGGATTTTTTAAAAACAGGCAGACATGTGTTAGCGACTGACCTTGCCACTCCTCAAAGTTGTAATTTTTTATAGGATAAATTTTTCTTTCCACAAGAGTCTTGTTGATATCTCTATCCTTTTGTTTTATAGTATCTTGAATCCGTTCTCCGATCCCTACGTACACATAAAAAGTATTTAAATTTCATATCCAACATATAAGAAAAAAAATACTTTTGTGAAATTAATGTGGGTGTGTATGATGAAACCTTCTGTATTATATGCGTGTATATGAAACTAATGTGTATGATTAAAATAGCAATTTTTGTGAACCACACACCATAAACATATCAAATTAAAAAAAAAAGGAAAAATTTACATATTGCTAGATTTAATATCAATAGCACATTAAATAGCTAGACTAATAATATTCTACAATATACGCACTTCGGAATCATGAAAGATGCACTCAATAAAGTGAATCACGTTTCCTCCATGGGTTGTAACCATTTCGTACATCCTAATTAGACAAAGTTTAATAGCCAGTTGTGGCAATGCGTTCGTCAATTTTTTGATCGACAGAAAAAGGGGAGGTATTTTTTTGAACCTTTGTTGGTTGAGTACGTATAAAATATATTTTTTTGTGACAGTAGTGTCAATCTTAATCAGAATTTATATAATCAAATCTCACGTAAAGATGATAATATGTGTATATTAGATAATAAATTAATTATAATTGACATAAAGATGGCAATATGTTTATATTAATATTTGCATAAAAATGTAATTAGAATCCTTCTATTTTTTATTGATACCGTGTTTATGTAAATTAACAATAAAATCTTTGCTAACAAAATCTATCGTCCAAAATATAATATATCCTCCTAAAGTTAACAAAATATTTGCTAACAAAATAGTTGCTAATAAAATCATTGCTCACATCCAAGCAAGATCCACGGGATCAATAAATATTTGCTAACAAAATTATCCACGGGACTGTTATAAAAACAATATTTCCAAAATATTTGCTAACAAAATTATCCACAAAATTGGTATACAAACAATATTTCCAATTTTGTCCGAAAAATTTTAAGCGGAAAAACTTCGTCCATTTTTGGCAAAATAGATTCGTCCATTATATAGATATAGATTTGTATTATTTTTTGGGCATTACTCATAAAAAACAATACGTTATGCTGCAATTTGATCTTTAGAACATTAATCCCAAAAAATGATGAACCATTTTCGCGATAATGTCCCAATAATTGTACAAATTGCTACGCAACATACGTATATTGAGGAG